AGGTGCTGTTCCTGCAACCTTCAGGTGGCATCATTGTGGCACTGGAGACGGGCCAGGATGGACATGTTGTTCAAGGAGTGGGAGGGGGAGTTGAAGTGGTTCGCGACTGGGAGGTGCAGTCGTTTGTTGTGAACTGAGCGTAGGTGTTCCACAAAGCGGTCTCCAAGCCTCCGCTTGGTTTCCCCAACATAGAGGAGGCCACATCGGGAAGAGCGGATACAGTATACCACACTGGCAGATGTGCAGGTGAACATCTGTTTAATATGGAAGGTTTTCTTGGGGCCTGAGATGGGGGTGAGGGGGGGATGTGTATGGGCAGGTGTAGCACTTGCTGCAGTTGCAGGGAAAAGTGCCAGGGGTGGTGGGGCTAGTGGGGTGTGTGGAGCGGAGTCACGGAGAGAGTGGTCCCTCCAGAAGGCAGATAAGGGTGGGGAGAGGAAAACGTCCTTGGTAGTGGTGTCAGATTGCAGGTGACGGAAGTGGTGGAGGATAATGCGTTGGATACAGAGGTTGGTGGGATGGTACGTGAGGACAAGGGGGATTCTGTTTTTGTTGTTATTGCGGGGAGGGGGTGTGAGGGATGAGTTGCGGGAAACGCGAGAGATGCGGTCGAGGGCGTTTTCGACCACTGTGGAGGGGAAGTTGCAGTCCTTGAAAAACAAGGACGTAACGTTTGAATATGGCAAACATTTTGCACTCTCTTCACATGTTAATAATTTCTCAAAAGGACAGGTTTTCTTAATACTCAAGTTGTCTGTCATTCACCCTTTTCTACTCAAACTCCTGACAAAGTAATGCTTTATTAGAAGAAAATGTTTTCTTTGTATACTATTCAGTTATGTAAGAAAATTTACAAAATATGGCCATTGAGAGGAAAACCTTGGCTTGTAATTATACTAAAATGTTTCTAACTTCTTTCATAAGAAGTATTTTCTTCTTCAATTATAATACAGATTTTGCTATTCCTTTGGATTGAATGATCAATTTTTCACATTATTTTCATCTCACCAAAAGGACTAACATTTTTCTTCCTTTCTTTCCCCCAAATTTCTTCACGAGATTAATCATTGCAGAAGTTCATGTTGATTACCCAAAGCAAAATAAACAGGGTTGTCTCTGAGGAGGCTATAAACAGCTTGCCTTTTAAACAAAAATGAACAGAAATCTGAATAGGTTTGGTCAGTAATTCCAATCTTTTAAAGTGACAGTAGTGTATTCTGTTGGTGTTTTGTGTCTGTAGACTTCTTCACCCCTCCCATCTCTTCCTTAGCAATAATTTGTTGTTTACATAGAAAGTCTGTACATATTCTAAGGGTAACAAATGGTTTTTTATTTAAGAGAATGACAGGTCAGAAAGACCAAGTATAGCATACATCCTGTGGCATGTGTGAAGTGGTAGACATTCCATGTGTCCCACACAAACACATCTGCAAGAAATGTCACCATTGCTACAACAGCTGTTGTAGTCTGGCGTACTGACCTCTACCTTGAAGAGGATGAGTGCCAGCTCTCAGATACCTTCTCCTACCTTCCCCTGGACCATGACCCCACCATGGCACATCAGGCCATCGTATCCACTACAGTGACTGATCTCATTTCATCCGGTGATCTTCCCTGCTCCGCTTCCAAGCTAACAGTCCCCCAACCCTGCACAGCTTGCTTCTGCCTCCTGCCAAAAATCCACAAACAGGACTGTCCGGGCAGACCCATTGTTTCAGCCTGCTCATGCCCAACGGAACTCATCTCTTCCTACCTTGACTCAGTCTTCTCGCCCCTGGCCCAATCCCTACCCACATACATCCATGATTCATCTGATGCCTTACGCCGGTTTCAAAACTTCCAGTTTACCAGTTCGAGCCACCTCCTCTTTACCAAGGACGTGCAATCCCTTTAAACGTCCATTCCCTACCAGGAGGTCTTAGGGCTCTCCGCTTCTTCCTGGAACAAACACCGGAACCACCCCCAGCCACCACCACTCTCCTCCGCTTGGCCGAGCTTGTCCTCACCCTCAACAACTTCTCTTTCAACTCCTCTCATTTTCTTCAGGTAAGAGGGGTTGCCATGGGTACCCGCATGGGCCCCAGTTACGCCTGTCTCTTCAAGGGGTACATGGAACATTCCTTGTTCCAGTCCTATTCCAGCCCCCACCCACAACTCTTTCTCCGATATATTGACGATATCATCAGTGCTGCTTCCCTCTCTCATCTGGAATTGGAAAACTTCATCAATTTCACCTCCAATTTCCACCCTGCCCTCACTTTCACCTGGTCGATCTCTGACTCCTCCCTTCCCTTCCTCGACATTTCTGTTTCCATTTCTAGGAATAGACTGGCCACTAATATTCACTACAATCCCACTGACTCCCACAGCTATCTGCACTATACATCCTCACACCCTGCTTCCTGTAAAGACTCCATCCCATTCTCTCAGTTCCTCCATCTCCGTCGCATATGTTCAGATGAGGCCAATTTCGACAAGGGAGCCTCCAAAATGTCCACCTTCTTCCTCAACTGAGGATTCCCCAGCTCTGTTGTCGACAATGACCTCAACCAGGTCCAACCCATCTCCCGCACTTCCGCCCTCACTCCTTCTCTGCCGTCCAGCAACAGCAATAGGGTTCCCCTTATTCTCACCTGCCATCCCACCAGCACCCACATCCAGAAGATCATCAGATGCCATTTCCACCATCTCCAGCGAGATGCCATCACCAGACACATATTCCCCTCCCCTCCCTTGTCCGCCTTCCGCAGGGACCATTCCCTCCGGGACACCCTGGTCTACACTTCCTTCCCCCAACACCTCCCCACAGCCCTACAGCATCTTCCCCTGTAACCGGCAAAGATGCAACATCTGCCCATTTACCTCCTCCCTCCCCAGTATCCAAGGTCCCAAACATACTTTCCAGGTGAAGCAACACTTCACCTGAACTTCCCAGAATCTGGTCTACTGCATTCGCTGCTCACAACGTGGTCTCCTCTACATTGGGAAAACGAAGCGTAGACTTGGCAACCGCTTCGCAGATCATCTACGTTCTGCTCGCAATAAAGACCCTGAACTACCTGTTGCCTGCCACTTTAACGCACCACCCTGCTCCCTGGCCAACATCTGTGCCTTTGGCTTGCTGCAGTGTTCCAGCGAAGCCCAACACAAGCTGGAGGAACAACACCTCATTTTCCGCTTGGGGACCCTACAGCCCTCCGGACTCAATATTGAATTCAATAATTTTAAGGCCTAAACTCTCCCATCTCCCAGCCCCCTACCCCACATGCCATGCCTTGTTACCATATAGCCCGTCATTACACACCCCCTGTTGTTAGCCACTACAAGTCCCCATTCACAACTAATCACCCTCCCAGCCTGATCATAAGCAACTCCTTTGTCTGTCCAACTGTCTTTCTCTCCCTTTGGGTTCTCTCCTATCATTTACTCCCTACCCCACCCACCTCCCTATTTTCTGCATATAAACTGACGTTTTCCCAGCCACTATCAGTTCTGAGGAAGGGTCACCGGACCCGAAACGTTAACTCTGTTTTTTCCTTCACAGATGCTGCCAGACCTGCTGAGCTTTTCCAGGAATTTTGTTTTTGTTCCTGATTTACAGCATCTGCAGTTCTTTCGGTTTTTGTTTGTTATGGAGCTGATCAGACAGCAGGTTATATGAGACTTGATATTGTGTAATGAGATAAGGTTAATTGATGACCTGCAAAGCTGATGTGGACTGACAAATATGATAAAGGGATAGTTCAACAGAAATGTAGTGTCAGACATTTCAAGGGATATCTCAGAATACATAGAATGGATACATTCCAATGAGAAAGAAAAATTCCAAGGGGAGGAACCCAACATCTGTGGTTTGTTAGAAAAGTTAAAGATAGCATCAAACTTAAAGAAAAAGCATATAATTTTGCAAGGGTAGATGGGAGGTCAGAAGATTGGAGAGAATATTAAAAAAAGCAAAGAATGGCTAAAATAATAAGAAAAAAAGTGTTTGAGAAAGCAAGTGAGAAGTATAAAATCAGATCATACAAGTTTCTACATTTTTAATTAAAAAAGATGTTAAAGTGAGCATTGGCCTAATATTAAAAAAAAGTGAGCCTGATCAGCAAATTGTGAAAAGGAGAAGTAAATTGAGTTGTATGAAAGGAGAGAGGGTTCACACTCCCCTCAATAAGGATGGAAGGGGTCCTGGTGGTCTTACAACATTCAAATGGTTAAGGCATTGTAATCTACTTAGTGGCATCTAACCACGCTTGGGGCAGCACAGTGTCTCAGTGGTTAGCACTGCTGCCTCACAGCGCCAGGGACCCGGGTTCAATTTCACTCTCTAGCAACTGTCTGTGTGGAGTTTGCATATTCTCCCCATGTCTGCGTGGATTTCCTCCAGGTGGTCCAGTGGGCTAGGTGGGGTAGCCACAGTAAATGCAGGATTATGGGGTAGGGTGTCAGTCTGGGTAGGATGCTCTTCGGAGGGTCATTGCGGACTCAATGGGCCAAATGGAATGCTCCCTCACTGTAGGGAATCTATGAGTCTAAAGATATGGCAGAAGAATTGATTGAATATTTTTCACTAGTCTTCGATGGACTTCAAAAAACAGCAATTGCCAAATATTTACATACCCAAAGTGAAGACATTAGCATCGATGATCAAAAAGTTGGTCAAATATACATATTTTGAGGAGGATCAGGGCAAATCTTATACATTTCACAGTAAGGCCCTGGAGAGGGTTGCTGAACAAAGAAACCTTGGAGTGCAGGTTCATGGTTCCTTGCAAGTAGAATCACAGGTAGACAGGATAGTGAAGGCATTTGATACACTTGTCTTTTTTGGTCACTGCATTGAGAATAGGACTTGGGAGGTCATCTTGAGGCTGTACAGGACATTGGTTAGGCCACTTTTAGAATACTGTGTTCACTTCTGGTCTCCCTGCTACATGAATGATGTTGTGAAACTTGCAAGGGTTCAGAAAAGTTTTAAAAGAATATTGCCAGGGTTGGAGGGTTTGAGCTATAGCGAGAGGCTGAATAGGCTGCGGCTATTTTCCCTGGAATATCAGAGATTGAGGGGTGCCATTAAAGAAGTTTATAAAATCATGTGGTTAATAGATAGGGTGAATGGTCAAAGTCTTTTCCCCCACAGTAGCAGATTCCAAAGCTAGAGGGCATAGGTTTAAGGTGAGAGGGGCAAGATTTAAAAGGGAATTAAGGGAGAACATTTTTCACGCAGAGGGTTGTGCATGTATGGAATGAGCTACCAGAGGAGCTGTTGGAGGCTAGTAGAAATACAACATTTAAAAGGCATCTGTATGGGTACACGAATACGAAGAGTTTAGAGGGATATGGGCCAAATACTGACAAATGGGACTAGATTAATTTAGGATATCTGGTCAGCATGGAAAGGTTGGACCAAAGGGTCTGTTTCCATGCTGTACAGCTTTATGACTCTAAGGAGATAAAAGGGTTTTTTTTTTGGCGGGGGTGTGGAGTGGTAAGAGCATTAATGGTCCACATGCCAAGCATGAATTAAGGATCTCACCCAAGCAAAGAGAGAAAGGGAGATCTCCCTAAACAGTGATCTGAAAATTTCAGCGACAATTTTTACCACGCCAATCCAAGAAACAGCAGTCGATCGCAACAATCTAACACAGCACTAGAAAGCAAACAATAACCACAGCCCACGAAAAATCAGTAACTCGGAGAAACAGACGGATAAGGGAAAAGTTTAACTATCCTTTCATGTGCCTGTCTTTTAATTGGCTTAGAGGGACAGAAACCATAGTGTCACATTCTGTCCTCATTATGATGGATGTGTTATGTAGACGGAACCCAGACATATGACTGATGTAACATTGATCAAAGAAAGTCAGAAAGACGAAAGACGAAAGACTAAAGACTAATTCCCACACGTGGAAATACTAACCCTTTCAAGTGGGAGACGAGTTTAACTCTGAAATGAGAACTTCAAACTAGGTGAAGCTAGGGATTCAGGCTTTCTACCTGTGGCTGTAATTCGGCCTGCTCCCCCTCTCCCTCGAACTTATGACCGAACCTTCAAAAAGAAAATTCTCCACAATATCCCTCTCACCTGGTATCCTCAGTCAGAACATGACCTCGCCCCGCGCTTTTAAACTTTATATCCCGCTTAAAATCGTCAAAAAATTTCTTCATCTTTCCTCTATGTCAGCAGAGTTCTCGGTGTCACATCATCTAAAGTCCCCCATGCCCCTACCGGAACTCCGCTGGTTCTCAGACCGGAAGCGAACCATTTCACCAATGCACCGACGCCGTTGCCGAGGCAACAAAGCGAGCCCCAACTAGCAGAGACACGAAGGTCAGTTTTCTTGCCTGCTGTTGAAACAGTTAGGAATTCCTGAGTGTTAAAGCAATAGAAAAAAAAAATCTCCAAATAATGAAAATGGAAATAAATTGTTAGAGAAACAAATCTTGAGAAAAACGAAACGAATATCCTGGAAACTTGAACCTTTAACGATCAATGAATGGAAAAGACAGACAGAGGTCAGTAGATTCGGACGGGGTTTGACCACTAGAACCCTGTTCTGATGAAAGGTTGTACCTAAACTGTCAACATGGTTTTTCTTCAATTAAATGGTTGCCCCAATGTCATCAAACATAAAGCCAAAAGCATACCTCCATTAAAGAGGGCACAACTAATTTATTTAAAATAAATTATTCCTTTAAAGAAATTAAGTAGATTGTCAAAGTGTACATTGTTATTGTCATCCATGACCAATCCGGTCTTTCATTGCTGTGGTGACCACTGTTTGTGGAAGGCCTTCAGCAAACTGGTGGTCTCATTATGGATGGTGACTGATTTACAACCCCAGAATGATATTGCACAAATGGGGACCATTTTGCACATTGTTCTTGTTCCTGCTGTTTGAACAAGATAGTCAGTTAGTTCCATTCTCTATATCCCATTATCTATTACAGCTTCAAGGTCCTTCATCTCTGCCTGGCACCATTCTTGAAATTTTCTTTTTTTCTGTACTCTCTGTCAGGCCCTGAGGTCTGTGGTGCAGTGGGTAAATGTGTCCCAGCTGCTGACTAGAAGATCCAGGTTCACCTCTTAATACATGACTGGATGGCCATGGAAGGTATGTTGAGTCTTAATCTGCAAATTCAGAACTTTGGGAAGTCTACCACCACTGCAGACTACAACTTGGACTCTTGAGTGAGTTGCAATGCACCATCTCTAACATCTTTACATCATGCTTAAAATGTGTCCAGAGGTGAACTCATACTGCAGCTGAGGCATAACCTAACCTTCTTGCTTTTGGCTCTATCCGTCTATTAATAAAGCCAAGGATTCCATATGATTTTTAACTCACCTTCTCAACTTATCCTGCCACCTTCAAAGATTTCTATATGTACACCACTAGATCTCTGTGTTCCTGAAACCCCTTTAAAATTGCACCATTTATTTAACTCCTGTTACTCTTCATATTAAAATAAATCACTTTACAATTATCTGTGTTAAACTGCATCAACTAAGAATCAGCACATTTCACCAGTATGTGTCCTCCTGAAGTCTGTTACTATCTAGCTTATTATTTACTGCATTTCTGAGTATTATATGTAAAATGTGAAATTATGACCACTATGCCCATGTCTAGGTCATTCATATAAGTCAAAAAGAGCAGTGGTTCCAGTACCTACCCACACTTAACCTTTGGCAAATTACTTGTATGCACTGTCTTTGACCCTTGAATCTAATTGACTGTAATGCTGATGACAAGGCTGCTGTGTAATACTTTGTCAAATTCTTTTGGAAGATCCATATACACATCAACGTATATCAACCATTTCCAATACATCGGCCAGATTTTCTGCTTGGTCATACTGGTTTTCTCAGTGCAATTTGCTGGAAATTGGTGAAGCCTGTGCTTGTACTTGTTTAAAAAGCAAGACATTGGGAAGAGACAAAAAAAACTGCAGATGCTGTTTAAAAAGCAAGACATTGGGAAGAGACAAAAAAAACTGCAGATGCTGGAATCCAAGACAGACAAACAAGAGGCTGGAAGAACACAGCAAGCCAGGAAGCATCTGGAGGAAAGGAGCAGTCACCGTTTCGGGTATTACCCTTCTTCGGGATAGGGGGAGCTGCAGATAAAGAGAGGGGGAGGAGTGGTAGCAGAATGGTCGTGATAGGTGGACACTGGTAGTCGGTACGACCTGGTTGGTCGATGGGAGGAATGGATCCGGCTGGTGGCTGGAAAGGAGGGACAGAAGGTGGAATTGAAGGGAGGAGGTGGGGCTGGAAAGGGACCCGGGGGATGGGTCAGAAGGTTATTTGAAATTGTAGAACTCAGTTTTGAGTCCTCCAGGCGGAAGATAAGATCTTGTTCTTCAAATTTGTGTTCCGAGTCACTGCGACACTAGAGGAGGCCGAGGATGGACATGTTGGAGGAGTGGGGCAGGGAGTTGAAATGGGTGGTGACTGGGAGGTTAGGTTGGCTGTTACGGGCCAGGTGAAGATGCTCGGTGAAACAGTCACCTAGTCGACGTTTGGTCTCACTAATGTAAAGAAGACCACATCAGGAGCACTGAATGCAATAGACTACGTTGGAAGAGATGCAGGTGAAGCTCTGTCTCACTTGGAAGGGCTATTTAGAGCCCTGAATGGAGGTGAGGGAGGTGTGTGTGGGCAGGTGTTGCATCTTTTATGGTTACAGGGGAAGGTACCAGGCGGGTTAGAGTGTTTGGTGGGGAGTATGATGCGAACTAAGGAGCGGTGAAGGGAATGGGTCTTGTGGAAGACAGAGAGGGGTGGGGAGAGATGTTCCAGGTGGTGGGGTTTGATTGGAGTTGGCAGAAGTGTTTGAGATAATATGTTGGATGCGGAGGCTGGTGGGATAGAAAGTGAGGACAAGAGAGACCCTTTCTTTATTATATAAACCAAACGTTAACTCTTTTCTCCTTCACAGATGCTGCCAGACCTGCTGAGTTTTTCCAGCAACTTTGTTTTTGTTCCTTTCTTTATTATGTTTGGAAGGAGGGTCGTTAAGAGCTGTGGAGTGGGGAATGGGGGAGGTGCGGTGAAGGACTGTCTGGATGACAGGGGTGGGAGAAAGACAGTTGTTTGAAAAAGGCGGACATCCAAGATGCTTCAAGTGGAACGTCTTCTCATCAGAGCAGATGCGACGGAGACAGAGGAATTGGGAAAACAGGATGGAGTTTTTGCGGTCTACAAGGTGGCAGGAGGTGTAATCTAGGTAGCTATGGGAGTCTGTGGGT